CTTAAGAATATATTTAAAAAAATTATATATATATATACACATACTGCATGTTGAAATTTTTTTTTCATATATTACAAAATATAAAAAAATATTTTTCAAAATATAAATTTTTTAAATATATTCTTCAGATTTTTTTAACATATAAAAAAGTCATTTTTACATATATTTGTAAATGCATTACAAAAATGTAGATTAAATTTATTTTTAAAGAATACAGTGTATTTGAAAATGTAATTTTAAAAAAAAATTTGTTTTATATATATATATACACACACTGCATGTTGAAATGCATTTTTCATATATTACAAAATATATAAAAAATATTTTTCAAAATATAAATTTTTTAAATATATTCTTCAGATTTTTTTAACATATAAAAAAGTCATTTTTACATATATTTGTAAATGCATTCCAAAAAAATGTAGATTAAATTTATTTTTAAAGACATACAGTGTATTTGAAAATGTAATTTTAAAAAAAAAATTGTTTTTTATATATATATATACACACACTGCATGTTGAAATGCATTTTTCATATATTACAAAATATATAAAAAATATTTTTCAAAATATAAATTTTTTAAATATATTCTTCAGATTTTTTTAACATATAAAAAAGTCATTTTTACATATATTTGTAAATGCATTCCAAAAATGTAGATTAAATTTATTTTTAAAGACATACAGTGTATTTGAAAATGTATTTTTAAAAATATTTTGTTATATATATATATAGTTTTTATTACAAAATATATGAAAATACTTTTAAAAATACATTTCAAATACACTGTATGTCTTTAAAAATACATTTAATCTACATTTTTGGAATGCATTTACAAATATATGTAAAAATGACTTTTATATGTTTAAAAAAAATCTGAAGAATATATTTAAAAAATTTATATTTTGAAAAAAATATTTTTTATATATTTTGTAATATATGAAAAATGCATTTCAACATGCAGTATGTGTATATATATATATAATTTTTTTAAATATATTCTTAAGATTTGTTTTAACATATGAAAAAGTAATTTTAACATATCTTTTTACATATATTTGTAAATGCATTCCAAAAATGTAGATTAAATTTATTTTTAAAGACATACAGTGTATTTGAAATTTATTTTTAAAAATATTTTCATTTTTTTTTTATATATACTCTCTCTCTCTTTCTCTCTCTATAACAAAAATTTTTAAAAATACATTTTCAAATACACTGTATGTCTTTAAAAATACATTTAATCTACATTTGTGGAATACATTTACAAATATATGTAAAATATTGTTCAAATGACTTTTATATGTAAAAAAAAAATCTGAAGAATATATTTAAACAATATATATACTGTATTTACAAAAATATATTTTTTGAAATATATTCCTCAAATTTTTTTTAACATGTAAAAATGTCATTGTAACATATATTTTATCCTGAGCAGTGTGCCTGAGCTGACAGGGAGGAAGATTGCTTGTAAACTAACCATCGGTGATTGTCGATAAAGACCGGGCGCTGGCGGGTAATCACCGGCTGGGATTGGCGAATGGCGGCACGGGTAGGGTGCGCAAGAGGCTTGTGTGCACCCCCTACCCGGAAATGAAAATCACATATATATATATTGTATTCCTCAAACTGACACCAACAATGGGAAACTATTCCTCCCACTATTACCAAGCATTCCTTTCAATTACACCAATGATGGGGCACTATTCCTCCCACTGACACCAATGATGGGGCACTATTCCCCCACTGATACCAATGATGGGGCACTATTCCTCCCACTGATACCAATGATGGGGCACTATTCCTCCCACTGATACCAATGATGGGGCACTATTCACCCCCCACTGACACCAATGATGGGGCACTATTACTCCACACTGATACCAATGATGGGGCACTATTCCTCCCACTGATACCAATGATGGGGCACTATTCCTCCCCACTGATACCAATGATGGGGCACTATTCCTCCCACACTGACACCAATGATGGGGCACTATTCCTCCCCACTGACACCAATGATGGGGCACTATTCCTCCCCACTGATACCAATGATGGGGCACTATTCCTCCCACTGATACCAATGATGGGGCACTATTCCTCCCACACTGACACCAATGATGGGGCACTATTCCTCCCACACTGACACCAATGATGGGGCACTATTCCTCCCATTGACACCAATGATGGGGCACTATTCCTCCCAATGACACCAATGATGGGGCACTATTCCTCCCACTGACACCAATGATGGGGCACTATTCCTCCCACTTGATACCAATGATGGGGCACTATTCCTCCCACTGATACCAATGATGGGGCACTATTCCTCCCACTGACACCAATGATGGGGCACTATTCCTCCCACTGATACCAATGATGGGGCACAATTCCCCCCACTGATACCAATGATGGGGCGCTATTCCCCCCACTGATACCAATGATGGGGACACTATTCCTCCCACTGATACCAATGATGGGGCACTATTCCTCACACTGACACCAATGATGGGCACTATTCCTCCCACTGACACCAATGATGGGGTACTATTCCTCACACTGACACCAATGATGGGGCACTATTCCCCCCACTGATACCAATGATGGGACACTATTCCTCCCACTGATACCAATGATGGGGCACTATTCCTCCCACACTGACACCAATGATGGGGCACTATTCCTCCCACTGACACCAATGATGGGGTACTATTCCCCCCACTGATACCAATGATGGGGCACTATTCCTCCCACATGACACCAATGATGGGGCACTATTCCTCCCACTGACACCAATGATGGGCACTATTCCTCCCACTGACACCAATGATGGGGCACTATTCCTCCCAATGACACCAATGATGGGACACTATTCCTCCCACTGACACCAAAGATGGGCACTATTTCTCCCACTGACACCAAATGATGGGGCACTATTCTTTCCCAATGATACCAATGATGGGGCACTATTCCTCCCACTGATACCAATGATGGGACACTATTCCTCCCAATGACACAAAGATGGGGCACTATTTCTCCCACTGACACCAATGATGGGCACTATTCCTCCCAATGATACCAATAATGGGGCACTATTCCTCCCACTGACACTAATGATGGGGCACTATTCCTCCCACTGACACCAATGATGGGGCACTATTCCTCCCACTGATACCAATAATGGGGCACTATTCCTCCCACTGATACCAATGATGGGGCACTATTCCTCCCACTAATACCAATGATGGGGCACTATTCCTCCCACTGATACCAATGATGGGACACTATTCCTCCCACTGATACCAATGATGGGGCACTATTCCTCCCACTGATACCAATGATGGGGCACTTTTCCTCCCACTGACACCAATGATGGGGCACTATTCCTCTCACTGACACCAGTGATGGGGCACTATTCCTCCCACTGACCCCAATGATGGGACACAATTCCTCTCACGGATACCAATGATGGAGCTCTAATCCTCCCACTGACACCAATGATGGGGCACTATTCCTCCCACACTGACACCAATGATGGGGCACTTTTCCTCCCACTGACACCAATGATGAGGCACTATTGTTCCCACTGACACCAAAGATGGAGCACTATTGCTTCCACTATTACCAAGCATAGGATGCTATTCCTCCCACTGACACCAACGACAGGGTGCTTTTCCTCCCCCAAAGAACCATCGTTTACGCCACTGATACCAGGATAATTTCTACTTCTACTGGCCACAGTCCGGCCCCCCGAAAGTCTGATGGACAGTAAACTGGCCCTTTGTTTAGAAAGTTTGGAGACCCCTGGCCTGGAGTTGGATGGAAACAGACAAGTGGTCCGTTTCCATCCAGCCCATACAGGACAGCGGGTTGTGTCTGTGGAGGGTGGTTGCGGACCTGTCATCCACTTGCTCAGTGGTGACCAGTGGGGATCAGTGGGGATCAGTAGGCAGATCTCCCCGGTGAGCAGGCCGAACCTCTGATGGGTCCATCCCATGGGAAAGGGGCCTTAAAATGATATTTTGGAAATCATTAAAGCAGATTCTCTGTTCCAATTAGAAATGAAAGAACTTAGCCCCATGAAAGACGACCTTACTGTTACATTCCTGTCTGGGCGTGACACCGAGTGATACAGGCATCTCGAAGGGTCAAAATTACAACAGCAAACGCGTGTTTTTTTTCTTTAACTCCTTCCCGTCCAGCCCTGGCATCCCTTTAACTGAACGCCCCGGGGGTGGGAAAGTCTGTCTGATTACATGCCCACTGGGATTGGCTGTCACAGTGGTCACATGATCAGTAGCCAGTCCTGTCAGCTCCTAATCATTACACAGGACTGGGAACTGCCTTTGACAGCTCGATCCCTGTTCTGAGAGTGCACAGTAAGCATGCGCCCAGCCAGGGGCGGACTGACAACTCATGGGGCCCCCGGGCAATAGGGGATCATGGGGCCCCTGTGTCCTTGCCCAAACTCAAAAAGCCTATGAAAAAGGTACCACGGTCATCTCATGGGGCCCCCTACTGACCCCGGGCCCTCGGGCAGTGCCCTAGTTTCCAAATGGTCAGTCCGCCCCTGCTCCCAGCACAGAGACCTCTGCTGTCCAAGCCAACCCTCTTTGCCACCACACATATGCAGTATGTGGTTTGCTTTTGCTTCTGGTATTAACAGGCAATCCCCTCCTCCTCCTCCTCCTCCTCCTCCTCCTCCTCCACCTCCTCCTCCTCCACCTCCTCCTCCTCCTTCCTTCCCCAAACTGACAAGCTGCCTCAAGATTGCACTGTCCGCCTTTCTGTGAAAGCCGGAAGTTCAGGGAAGCAGCGCTGAGAAAGCAGGACTCAGCAGCATTGAAAACTGTAAACTGCAAGTGCTGGGGTAAGAATTTAACCAATTTAATGGGGGAATGTTTATTTTATTGAACTCAATGTGTTACCTTCTGTCAGCAATAAATATTCAACAAAACTCAAACTTTCCTTTGTTTCCACAGGACATTGTAGAAGAATGGGATTCCTTGTGTGTACAAGCTGCTTCTCTCTCTCTGATATTCGGGATTCTGAAGACACACGCAGTACGTGAAATACCGAAACCGTAAAATAGAAAGTTTCATCTCACCTAATTGGGCTATGAGTGGTAGTAGGTATTCGCCATCACATGACAAAGACGGTACATCTCAGGCCTCTCTCTGGAAAAATCGATCGCAATAACAAAACGTGCCCATAGAAGTCAGATCGATATTTTAGGATCTGAATGTGAATATGTTCACCATAGAGAAGGAGATGATGGTGGCTGGAGGTGATAACTGTTGGGTATACTACACACCATAGGGAAGGAGATGATGGCGGCTGGAGGTGATAACTGTTGGGTATACTAGATACCATAGGGAAGGAGATGATGGTGGATGGAGGTGATAACTGTTGGGTATACTAGATACCATAGGGAAGGAGATGATGGTGGTTGGAGGAGATAACTGTTGGGTACACTAGACACCATAGGGATGGAGATGATGGTGGCTGGAGGTGATAACTGTTGGGTATACTAGATACCATAGGGAAGGAGATGATGGTGGATGGTGGAGAAAACTGTTGGGTATACTAGATACCATAGGGAAGGGAGATGATGGTGGCTGGTGGAGAAAACTGTTGGGTATACTAGATACCATAGAGAAGGAGATGATGGTGGATGGAGGTGATAACTGTTGGGTATACTAGACACCATAGGGAAGGGAGATGATGGTGGCTGGTGGAGATAACTGTTGGGTATACTAGATACCATAGGGAAGGAGATGATGGTGGCTGGAGGAGATAACTGTTGTGTATACTAGATACCATAGGGAAGGAGATGATGGCGCCTGGAGGTGATAACTGTTAGATATACTAGATATCATAGGGAAGGAGATGATGGCGGCTGGAAGTGATAACTGTTGGGTATACTAGATACCATAGGGAATGAAATGATGGTGGTTGGAGGTGATAACTGTTAGATATACTAGATACCATAGGGAAGGAGATGATGGTGGCTGGAGGAGATAACTGTTGGATATACTAGACACCATAGGGAAGGGAGATGATGGTGGCTGGAGGAGATAACTGTTAGGTATACTAGATACCATAGGGAAGGAGATGATGGTGGCTGGAGGTGATAACTGTGGGGTATACTAGACACCATAGGGAAGGAGATGATGGTGGCTGGAGGAGATAACTGTTGGGTATACTAGACACCATAGGGAAGGAGATGATGATGGCTGGAGGTGATAACTGTTGGGTATACTACACACCATAGGGAAGGAGATGATGGTGGTTGGAGGAGATAACTGTTAGATATCATAGGGAAGGAGATGATGGCGGCTGGAAGTGATAACTGTTGGGTATACTAGATACCATAGGGAATGAAATGATGGTAGCAGGAGGAGATAACTGTTGGGTATATAGATACCATAGGGAAGGAGATGATGGTGGCTGGAGGAGATAACTGTTGGGTATACTAGATACCATAGGGAAGGAGATGATGGTGGCTGGAGGAGATAACTGTTGGGTATACTAGATACCATAGGGAAGGAGATGATGGTGGCTGGAGGAGATAACTGTTGGGTGTACTAGATACCATAGGGAAGGAGATGATGGTGGCTGGAGGAGATAACTGTTGGATATACTAGACACCATAGGGAAGGGAGATGATTGTGGCTGGAGGAGATAACTGTTAGGTATACTAGATACCATAGGGAAGGAGATGATGGTGGCTGGAGGTGATAACTGTTGGGTATACTAGACACCATAGGGAAGGAGATGATGGTGGCTGGAGGTGATAACTGTTGGGTATACTACACCATAGGGACGGAGATGACGGTGGCTGGAGGTGATAACTGTTGGGTATACTACACCATAGGGACGGAGATGATGGTGGTTGGAGGAGATAACTATTGGGTATACTAGATACCATAGGGAAGGAGATGATGGTGGCTGGAGGAGATAACTGTTGGGTATACTAGATACCATAGGGAAGGAGATGATGGTGGCTGGAGGTGATAACTGTTGGGTATACTAGACACCATAGGGAAGGGAGATGATGGTGGCTGGTGGAGATAACTGTTGGGTATACTAGATACCATAGGGAAGGAGATGATGGTGGCTGGAGATGATAACTGTTGGGTATACTAGATACCATAGGGAAGGAGATGATAACTGTTGGGTATACTAGACACCATAGGGAAGGGAGATGATGGTGGCTGGTGGAGAAAACTGTTGGGTATACTAGATACCATAGAGAAGGAGATGATGGTGGATGGAGGTCATAACTGTTGGGTATACTAGACACCATAGGGAAGGAGATGATGGTGGCTGGTGGAGATAACTGTTGGGTATACTAGATACCATAGGGAAGGAGATGATGGTGGCTGGAGATGATAACTGTTGGGTATACTAGATACCATAGGGAAGGAGATGATGATAACTGTTGGGTATACTAGACACCATAGGGAAGGGAGATGATGGTGGCTGGTGGAGATAACTGTTGGGTATACTAGATACCATAGGGAAGGGAGATGATGGCGGCTGGAGGAGATAACTGTTGGGTATACTAGATACCATAGGGAAGGAGATGATGGTGGCTGGTGGAGATAACTGTTGGGTATACTAGATACCATAGGGAAGGAGATGATGGTGGCTGGAGGAGATAACTGTTAGGTATACTAGATACCATAGAGAAGGGAGATGATGGTGACTGGAGGTGATAACTGTTGGGTATACTGCATACCATAGGGAAGGAGATGATGGTGGCTGGAGGTGATAACTGTTAGATATACTAGACACCATAGGGAAGGAGATGATGGTGGCTGGAAGTGATAACTGTTGGGTATACTAGATACCATAGGGAAGGGAGATGATGGTGGCTGGAGGTGATAACTGTTGGGTACACTAGATACCATAGGGAATGAAATGATGGTAGCTGGAGGAGATAACTGTTCGGGTATACTAGATACCATAGGGAAGGAGATGATGGTGGCTGGAGGAGATAACTGTTGGGTATACTAGACATCATAGGGAAGGAGATGATGGTGGCTGGAGGTGATAACTGTTGGGTACACTAGATACCATAGGGAAGGAGATGATGGTGGTTGGAGGTGATAACTGCTGGGTATACTAGATACCATTAGGAAGGGAGATGATGGTGGGTGGAGGTGATAACTGTTGGGTATACTACACACCATAGGGAAGGAGATGATGGTGGTTGGAGGTGATAAACTGTTGGGTATACTAGACACCATAGGGAAGGAGATGATGGTGGCTGGAGGTGATAACTGTTGTGTATACTAGACACCATAGGGAAGGAGGTGACGGTGGCTAGAGGTGATAAACTGTACTAGAACCCAAAGTGAAGGGAGATGATGGTGGCTGGAGATGATAACTGTTGGGTATACTAGATACCATAGGGAAGGAAGATGGTGGCTAGAGGTGATAACTGTTGGGTATACTAGATACCATAGGGAAGGGAGATGGTCATCCCACCTAATTGGATATTTTTAAGGGATTTGAGTGGTAATAGGTATTCGCCATCACATTACAAAGACGGCATATCTCAGGCCTCTCTCTGGAATAATAGATTGCAATAACACAAAAGTGCCCATAGAAAAGTCAGATTGTTATTTTAGGATGTGACTGTCACTAAGTTCACATTAATAGATATATCAATGTTTTGTATGTGTACTTTATTATACTTCTTTATGAAGTGCCAACCTATTACATAACATAATATTGCATATTGCACAACACTGCCCTGACGAGTTTGGATTGTGAAAGGTAGAGATACATAAAGCAGAATATGAAATTAATGCTTGCTAAGGAAGTTAGTTACAGTAAATACACAAGGGAAGGTAGACGGCAGTGGATGGAGTGGTGCAGAGGGGTGCACTAGATACAGTGAGGAAGGGAGATAGCAATGGTTGGAAGTGATGGCAGTTGAGCACACTGGATATAATAAAGAAGGGAGATGGCAGTGGCTGGAGATGATGGCATTTAGGCACAATAGATACTATAGGTTAGGTAGCTAGCAGTCAATGGAATGGAGCTGAGGGGTGTACTAGATACAGTAGAGAAGGGAAGTGGCAATGGTTGGAAGTAATGGCAGTTGAGTACACCGGATACAATAAAGAAGGGAGATGGCAGTGTATGGAGGTGTTGGTAGTTGGGCACATTAGATGCAATTGGGAAGTGAGATGATGGTGGCTGGCGATGATAACTGTTGGGTATACTAGATACCATAGGGAAGGAGATGATTTTGGCTGGAGGTGATAACTGTTGGGTATACTAAATACCATAGGGAAGGGAGATGATGGTGACTGGAGGTGATAACTGTTGGGTATACTAAATACCATAGGGAAGGAGATGATGGTGGCTGGAGGAGATAACTGTTGGGTACAGTAAATACCATAGGGAAGGAGATGATGGTGGCTGGAGGTGATAACTGTTGGGTATACTAGAATCCATAGGGAAGGAAGATGATGGTGGCTGGAGGTGATAACTGTTGGATATACTAGATACCATAGGGAAGCGAGATGATGGTTGCTGGCAGTGATAACTGTTGGGTATACTAGATACCATAGGGAAGCGAGATGATGGTTGCTGGCAGTGATAACTGTTGGGTATACTAGAAACCTTAGGGAAGGAAGATGATGGGAGCTGGAAGTGATAACTGTTGGGTATACTAGGTACCATAGGGAAGGGAGATGGTCATCTCACCTAACTGGATATTTTTAAGGGATTTGAATGGTAATACGTATTCGTCGTCATCACATTACAAAGACGGCATATCTCAGGCCTGTCTCTGGAATAATAGATTGCAATAACACAAAAGTGCCCATAGAAAAGTCAAATTGTTATTTTAGGATGTGAATGTCACTAAGTTCACATTAATAGACCTATCAATGTTTTGTATGTGTACTTTATTATACTTATTTATGAAGTGCCAACCTATTACATAACATAATATTACATATTGCACAACACTGCCCTGACGAGTTTGGATTGTGAAAGGTAGAGATACATAAAGCAGAATATGAAATTAATGCTTGCTAAG